TCCCATTTTTTAAATTTTTTTCTAAAAAACCCTACCAGAAAAAAAAAAAACTATGGGGAAACTTTTTTTTTTTTTTTTTTTTTTTTTTTAGGATTTGTATCAGTACAAGTGAAACACATTATGCAGATTAATTACACATGGATATTTTAAAACCTTCACTTCTGTCATTTGGGATGATTTTTCACTTACAGCTAATGAAAACATGCCATTAAAAATTAGAATACGTATTATCTCAGACAAATAAAAGCAATTTTTAAAATCAAAATTGTTGGCTTACTTAAAAGTAAATATCTTAAAGACTATTTTCAGTCTTACAAACACGCCTCATCTGAACACATATTTTAATTTAATGGACAAAACCGTAAAATGGTGATCACAGAAAAATTATATGATTGCAATGCCAAAATAAAAATTATTGTCTGAAAACTGTTTTGTTGTGTAACAAAATCTGTCAATCTGAAGGAGTACATTAAAATATTTTCTCCTATATCCAACTACATTATTACATCACAGACAGGCAATTACAAAGGAGTCCATGGGGATCTGGATTGGCTTTTACTGACGAAACAAATCTAATGAAACATTGTGGATCTGACCTTTTAGCTAATTTACAGATACAAAGGGGACTGAGAACGAGGAAACACATGTAAAGTCACTCTACTCCCACATAAAATTAACATTCATATTCAAAGCATAGTGACTGATTTCTATTATTAACTGTTATGACAATAATTTAGCTATGTTTTATGTAGCATAGCCATGTTAAAAGGGCATTGAAAACTTACTTCCTGAAGAACTACTACTGCATTGGTGCAATTTACCTGTGTCTCTCCACTACAATAAATAATAGTTGAAAGTATATTACCCAATAAGACATTCAATTAGATACAACACAGAAAAAAAGACAAAAAAAAAACATTTTTTAAATTATTATTGGGTTGAGTACTATTAGCCCGATGCTTGCTATGCAACTATCCTTGATTCTCAACTCCCTTCAGTGCTCTGTCTGGGATTTCTCCCATTGAGCTTCAGTTCTACAGCCTATGAATTAATTTCATCTGGGCAAATCAGCGAAGAGAAACGTTGTTAATGACGTTGATTTTCTACTCTGTTTTAGACTTGGAGTCTGTCAATGGTTGTACTTTGTTTGTGGCAGCTGAGGAAGTGAATGAAGTCATTTAGTCCCTGTTGGCCACGCTTCCAAATATTGAGCAATTAAAGTCAGAACAAGAGAAATCTTCGAGATACTTTAATGCTGGCAAAGGTGTCGTGGTCCCTTTCACTAACAGCTCGTTAGGCTTGGCAGTTCTCTTTTCTCAGTGGGGGATGATTGTTTAAAGCTTCACAGTCGAGCTTGTTCATTACACACGAGAAAATGTTAGCGATTGGGTAAAATCTGTTTTTCTTTCTTGATAAATCAGTTAACAACACACACATACATACACAAGATCAATGCCCTTATGATGTAATTTCTTGCTTTTACGCTTGGGTCATTTTTAACAAGACATTCTGTTTTATGCTTCTTTCTATAAAATGAGTTGTATAGCATATTTCGTTCCAATAGCTTAATATCATGGCAGATCAAGAAAGTTTATCTATTATGTTTAGTGACAGGAGGCTCCCCTCATGAGGGGTCACATTTTTAAAGCATTTCTTACTTTCCATCACTTGCTGCCAAATCGGCAGGTTTGTTCCAATGAGAAATAAACATAATAAAAATATTATGCGTAGGATCAAGGTGCATTCAGGATGAAGCTGGCAGAGGAAAGGTTTCAACCCTCAGCTAAACCTTATCATTTTTTCCACACAAAAGCCCAAGAAAACCCTGTAAGGTTGATAACCCTAATCACAACACTTTAGAACAAAAAACATGGAAATTATAGTTGTAACCATAGCAATAGTCAAACTTGTTCTAAGCATGAAATTATAATCATTCAAGGACAGCTTATTTATTTAAAAATGTGACGTAATTAGTATTTCTAATCAGAACTGCTTAATAATCATGTGAAAGGATGCAACTATTAAGATTTCTCAATTAGAAAGGAAAAGCGAGGCACACAGTCTTCTCCTTTGGTATTGCAGCGACTAACTGTTCTTTATGATGTGATCTTTATCAACTCAAGGCCTCAGCTGCTTGCCTCACTGTAACAAAATATTCCCTCCAAAATGGCATTTGAAATGTCAGTCTGGTGTCCTGAGGAGATAACGAAAAGGTGAAAATGTCACATGTTGTGCATCACATAATGCTACATCCAGACAGTTTGGCCCATCTGGACAAAGCATTGTTCAAAGACATAAAGTTAAATGCTACAGCGAGTCCTGTGTCATGCCTGATGTGTTCTAAACCATCATATGTTGGGTTGACTCCTGTCCAATTTTGCCTTAATAAAATTGACATGGATAATAAAGGCACATAAACATTTCCTGGGAATAATTTGGCCAATGATTCAGGAGCAGTTAGCAAAATAGCAGCATGTAAATAACTCTGGCTGCATATTCCCTGTTGTTTTTCTGCTGGAAGGAAACCCCAATCTAAAGTGTATTACAGCTCCTAACTAGTTTTCTACCAGGATTGCCCTCTGTTTACCTCCATTCTTCTTACCATCATCTCTGACTACCTTCTCTGTCCTGCTTAAGAAAACCTTGAAGATGCTACCGCCATGTGTTTTTTGGAAGCAGTATGTTTATTTTGATAAGTTGCTCCATGTGTTGTTTTATAAGCAGGTAAAAAGTTTAGATTTGGTCATGTCTGTCCTGTCACTTGAAATATAGGAAACAACTTTCTCTATGCTTAGCAGGCATAAAATTGAACGCACATGCAACAAGATTGCAATATTTATTTATTTCTGTTTTCGAATTAACTACCTCATATCACTAAAGGCTGTTCCAATGCTGCTCCTCGGGACTTCTGCCTCTGCAAGTTCAACATGCCTGATGAATGAATGAGTCTCATTTGAATCAGGTGTGCCACCAAAACTCAACATAAACCTTTTAATGAGTCATAGATTGAAGTCAGGCGTGGATCATGCAGGTGTAATGCATTCAGGCAGTGAATACTTGGAACCAAGATTGGGAAACACATCGAATACTTAGAGAAAATAGGGGGAAGAGAAAAAGAAAATGCTGTGAATTGGAACACCTGTTTTACTCAAAGTGTTTTTGCATCAAGTGTTTAGGTTCCACCCAACTTCCTGCTCACAGTATTTGTGAGCAGGGAAATTCTGTGATAAAGAAGATAACTGATGTCTGAGAGAATTGTTTTAAAGAATGTCTGTGGAAAACTGAGCGTAATAGCTTCCAGCTATTCTGACTGTTATTTAGTAACTTGCTTTTCTGCACTTACATGTTAAAAAAAAAACGACAATTTCTAGCTCCAACCATTTAGCAGTGACTTTTCACTGCTTAAATCCAGTGAGAAAAATCTATTTCCTGCTACAGAAGCCAAGATTTGTTGTTGCCTTTTTGTTAGTTTTCTCCTTTTCATGGAATAATTAGCGTGTTACATTGGGATAACAAAAGTTATCTGGTTCAGATTAAAGCATAATCAGAGTTAAGGTCAGGCCAGAACCATTGTTTGTCGAGAGGTAGATAGATACTTCTAAATGCTGCTCAAGTTTTTCTCAGAATATTGAATAAAAACACAAAGCCCAATATTCAAGTGTGTAGAATATTTTTTTTTATTTTTATATTGTGAATACTTTAGACTTCTTCATAGACAGTTGTCACTCACGTTCAACCGGACATAGGTATTGTACACAACAGTTCTGTAAACATGGTCCAGGAGATCCAGGGTGTATTTGATCACATTCATTAGACAAAGTAGCCCAGTGTACACTGAAGAATATCTTTTTTTTTTCTAAATAGTTCCTCTCAGTTATACATCAAACAACATGTTAGGACTATAGACAGTTACATTTAAAATACTTTACTTTCACAATTTGCTATAAACAAGTTGATAAATACAAGATTAGATATAACAAAAGAATATATTTATATATCTATGTATTCTCATATACTCCACATACATTTGCTTTTTTGTGTGGCTTAATTCCTTTTTAGTTATAATATTTTCTCATCAACGTAAAATTTCACTTCATTCCCATAGTTAAAAAAGAAGCAGAAGAATCAAATCAATACAAGAATATGACTTCAAAAATAAGTTGTTGGCACTTTAATAGTGATGAAAAATACAAAAGTTTATATGTTTCAAATAAAAACATGAAAGTTGCTGCTACGCAATTATCATGAAATCTAATACATAGTAGAGAGCGGCGTTTTTTAAGTTTTCAGTTCTCTATTTTATGTACGCTTCACCAGAGCAAACCATTAAAGAGTAAAAAAATGTCAACAGTCATAATACACATGCACTCTCTTGTTTTTTTCTCTTCAACACTCTGTATTTCTACTTTCTCTCATTGTTCAGTTGGAGATTAAGTCACACATAGTCCTTACAGTTGCACATAAAAGACAAAGAATAATAAAAAGCCCAAGTTTCATAATACAAAACTATCAGTAAAAGGAATTCCATTTGTTTTGGTGAATTTTCCTCCTGCACCCTAAGTTATCAGCTAGGCACTGACAAAGTCCCAGCTTAATCTTCGAGACAAAGACTTGGTACTAAGATTGTTTTTAGTTCCCAATAATCCCTAAAGTCTGCAATGGTTCCACACAGTCTTTGGTCTGGTGCATCTATTATTCCCTTTTTCACTCTAACGCATACATTTTTTCTGTCTTGTTTTTGTTTCCTTTCCTAATTAGGTTAAACTTGATGCAGCTCCTCGATGTCAATGTCAAACAGCCAAGTCAAAACCAAGAAGTTACTATTAACAAACTGTTATGATTTCTGTGTGTTCCTGAGTTAACACAGTTGACTCTTTTTGTTTGTGGACAGACTGTAGAAAACATGGAGTGTCTCACTTAATAAGGCACTGAGAGTTCAGCCTCTATTCTAAAAGAATGGAAAAAAGAAAATGTTTCTTACTATAGTGAATTAGTAGTGAGTAACCAGACACAAACAGAAAATCATGGCTCCCTTTGTAGTAATACAAAGGGATGATTAGATTGTTTGATGCCAAACTGTCATTTGTGCCCTTTCCGAGAAGTAATACTAAGATTTAAGTTTGTGCATAACGGCAGAGAAAGCTATGATTAATTAGGACTATGTATCAAATCTTAACATTGATAATGGTTAATTATCCCAGTGGCTACCCCTACTTCAAAACCTGTAGTGGTAGAAATCTTTCAGAATGCTAACAGGCTTAACCCTGAAATCAAAGTGCTTGAAACCCTTGAAGGCATTGTGTGGTAAATGCATGGGGAGAAGAAAGAAGCTGCTGATAGATACTGGAGCCGACTGCTCCCCGTTTTAGTCCAACCACTGGTGGCACACAGGAAATCCAAATGATGGATGATGGAGTTCTGGGTATTTGTGATCAAATGGCCAGCCAGTGTCTGAGCTAGAAAACAGAACAAAGATTTTATTGAATTTATGACATAATGTCATGCTGTTTTATGTTTTCTTTTTCTTTTTTTTTCTTGTTTACATGCAACCTGTGGCTTTTGTAATTCCGAATGTAACCCTGTTGTTGAGAGTTGATCTTTAAAGGACTCCTGCCAAAATGTATTATAACAATCCTAAGACCCCTCCACACTAGATTAAGACTCCCCTATGATCTCTGGGATTTCTAAAACAGTTCGAACATAACTAGGTCACCACCAATTTGTAATTTTAGAAAGAAGGAAAACATGACTGTAGTGTTCTTTGTACTCTGCACATACGGTTTTCTTTTTGGTGATTTCTTAGTGATCTAAGCACAGTGATATCACATATGTTACTACATATGATACATTTCCCTTCAAAGAATTGCAGCTTTATTTATTTATTTTTTATTTGAATTGGAGCATTGAGAACTTGCTTCTCTCGCGTGTCCCAACAAGAAATCTACCCATAATTCTGAGGGGTGTGCACCTCTTCCCTGCTGGGACCCCTATGAACCAGGAATGCAATCCATGCCGATATGGATATACAAAGAGTCTGAGCATAGAATGACTTTTCGGTTTTAAAAATTTCTTGGGAGTGGTTGATTTTTTTGTTGACACGTGTTGATGCAGGGCCCCATAGCTCAATAAACAGGGCTACTTTGGGGAATGCCAATCAAGTATGGGTGTGACGAGTTTGCTTTAAAGGTGGCCAATCCCACCTCAAATTTTCTGATGTCAAACCACACAAGCGGGTGTTTGTCACCCTTCATAGTAAGGCAACACTGATTCTACTCATTTCCTCCAAATTGCACTCGGGGCCTGGTGCATGCTGTCAAAATTATGATTAACAACCATGTTCCCACAATGGACATTTTGTGCAACCTCAAAACAGTTGGAGAAACTTCACTACACATCTAATAGTTGCTCCAACGGTCTCTTACTGCAGCACAGGAGGCCTCTCGAGGGCTCCTTTCGACTACATTACATCTAAAAATAATGGCGAAAGTTAAGGAAGTTGCCCTTACTGTGAATTGCCGCACATTTCCATTGGCTACCAAGTGATGTTCATGTTCTGGAGTGATGCAGTAGGCTATTTTCTGCAAAACAGGTGATAAGAAAACATCATATGGAATCCTAAAACAAGGTCTCTAAGAGAAATAAAAAAAATAAATGAAATATACTGGACCTTTTACACCGCAGGAACCTTTCAGACCAAAAAATTCTTTACAAGATATATATATCTTATATTTCTATTTATTTATTTATTTATTGTTAATTTGAGAAATAAAAGCACCAAAATGGAATAAAACTTTGAGACAAATTTAGCAACATTTATTCAACCAAAACCCAGTAAGCAGTTTTGCTGTTAAGTAAAACACACACACACACACACACACACACACACACACACACACACACACACACACACATATATATATATATATATATATATATATATATATATATATATATATATATATATATATATATATATATATGGAAAATCCAAAACTCAAATGGAAATACCAATGGGATTTGGTAACTGCTTCAACAGATTGCGGATGATACTAGTAGATTGCCACTGATTAAAAGTAGCTCTTCTCTGGCTTCATAATTGTGACCACAAACTCTCAGTGCTTTGAGGAGATGCACCGTATATTTCCATGTGCTTAAGTCAGGTTCTGTCCCCGATCATATATCAAAAAAACATAGAGTTAAGTTTTGAGTATTCAATTACATATGTTTTCTCAATATCTTTAGTTAGTGTAAATTCTCACTCATTATCACTACATAAATATGCTTAGATACAAACCTCTTTCAAAGTTCCAGGTACACTGAAGAATTTGTAGATGGCGTAAAAGGGAACAAACAGCATGGATGACATGGCTACTCCCCAGCCCAAAATGTTGGCCCAGTAAGGGAAGGTGTAGTCATCATATTTCAGACCTCCTGACGTCAACGTACTGGCTATGACAACAAACTGTAAAAGTAAATGTAAAAAGGTTTTTAGAAAAGCAAAAGTGGTGGACAATATAATAATATCAATGATTTATGTATTACAAAGCCTCTAAGAATTATACTTGTGAACTTGGCTGCTCATATTGACAGTATGAACTTTCTAATTATCTAAAACCTAAAAAAATCTTAGTACTTTTTAATGCATGTTGTCGTCCTTCATCTGCACAATACTTTTCCTCTCTTGCT